CCCACATACAGCAACTAGAAGGATGTGCAGCTATGACATACAACTGTCTACTGGGGCTTTGGGGGAAAAAAATAAATAAATAAAATTAAAAAAAATGGTTAAAATAATAAATTTTATGTTACATACATTTACAATAAAAAATAAATCAGATACATATGAAAAGCTCAAATAAATTACTTTGGCTTACAAAAATGGCTAATCGAGATTGGCTAACAAGTTGTCCCAGCTCTCCAATGTGACATATATTAAAAAAGACCTCAACTCTAAACTGAACTTGAATTCTTCTGGTTGAAGAAAAGACAGAGTTCTGATTCAAAATCTACGAAAGACAAATCTAAATTAATTCAGAATCAAACCAGGAGGAAGAGAACTATAGAATTTGCATTTGTTGAAAACGCAGCAGTGGGAGTAAAAGGGAAAAATAGAGAAGATCCACAGACAGGACTTTAGAACCCTATGGGCAACAGGGTTGTTTCAGTATATAAGCTCACTCAGGCTAATTCAAAGCTTGCACCAGCCACTAGACTGTTTTTGTAGTTCAACTCAAATGGCAAGATAATTGGCAGTAATGTTAACGGAGAAAGAAGATACAAGCTAGTTCTTTCGAGAAGTAAATATGCTGAAAGAATTCTACATAAACCAACCAAACACCAGAGAAGCCTTTAAAAAGAGCACCTTTTCTTAACAAGGAACCTGTCTAGATTCTTTTAAAAACAAATTCCTGGGGCCGGCCCCGTGGCTTAGCGGTTAAGTGCGCGCGCTCCGCTACTGGCAGCCCGGGTTCGGATCCCAGGCGCGCACCGACGCACCGCTTCTCTGGCCATGCTGAGGCCGCGTCCCACATACAGCAACTAGCAGGATGTGCAGCTATGACATACAACTATCTACTGGGGATTTGGGGGAAAAAATAAATACATAAATAAAAAATGCATACATTCATCATATATAAACCTCATCCCCCAATCTGTATCTTAATGTTAGGCAATAATGCTATAATATCATAAGCTCTTCTCTTCAAAATACCCAAGTTCACATCTCAGACATGACTATTCAATTTTATACACTCTAAACACACATGTATATGTATCTATCACAAACTATAGGACCCATGTGAAAACTGAATGAATAGCAGCTTAGTACAAAAGCCAAAGTTCTGACCATGACCTACAATTCCCCATAAGATCTACACCACCCCATTCCATCATATCTCTTCTGACTCCAACTCTATCTCCCCCTCCATCATGGGCTCCAACCACACTGGCTGGACTCCTTGCTCTTCCTGGAATGTCAGGCATGCTCCTACCGTACAGCCTTTGTACTGGCTATTCCCTCAGTGAGAAGACTCTTCCCCCAGGTGTCCGCATAGCTCACCCCTGCACCTGCAAGTCTTTACTCAAATGTCATTTTCTCAATGAGGCTCACTTTGAGCCCCTATTTAAGATCATATTATCCCTCCATCCTACTCAGACACACTCCCCCCATTCCTCTTTACCTTGTCTATTTCTTCCTTTATCCACAGCACATAACACTATCTAACCTACTACATAAAGTACTTACTATGCTTCTCATTTACTGTCTTGTCTGAAGTGTAACCTCCACCAGGAAAGAACCTGTTTTGTTCACTGATGAATCCCAACACCTAGAATAGTGTGTGATCCATGGTAAGCACTGAATAAAAATTTGCTGAATAAATGCATGAATAGCAGGGTCCTTAAATACAAGAGTTAAAATTTAAATTGACATAGGTTCTAGACTTAGAGGAGGAAACTACAACTATACACTCCTATCTACAAAACTTACAAATACATTCCTGTAAATCTGGTGCCTTACTAGGCACTTCTGGGACTCTGAAGTCACTTGTTTAGTGCCGCAGATTATATAAACAAAGTAACTTTGTATTAGAAAATCTGACTTATTGGGAGGATGGAAAGGAAAAATGGGAATTTTCAACATAGAACTTGGGCTAGCCAGATCTCAGTCAAATGACTTTCTGCGGTAGTCAGCTTCCAAAATGGTCCCCAGTTATTGCTGCCTCCTGGTATTTACACCCTTTTATAGCCCCCTCTAGGAATGAATCAGGGTTATCTACGTGACTACTGCATAATAAAGTATTTCACTGGCCTTTGTCCCTAGGAGAGAGACTCTAAATCCTTGGAATTTACAGTAAATGAACCAGTGGAAATAAACACACTGCTGAACAACCATATGGTCACAGAAGAAATCACAATGGAAATCAGAAAGTGTCTTGAGACAAATGAAAATAAAAACACAACATACCAAAACTTATGGGATGCAGCAAAAGCATCCCATAGGGAAACTTATAGCTGTAAATGCTTACATTAAAAAAGAAGAGGGGCCGGCCCGGTGGCACAAGCGGTTAAGTGCACGTGCTCTGCTGCGGCGGCCCGGGGTTCGACGGTTCGGATCCCAGGTGCGCACCGACGCACCGCTTGTAGAGCCATGCTGTGGTGGCATCCCATATAAAGTAGAGGAAGATGGGCACTGATATTAGCTCAGGGCCAATCTTCCTCAGTAAAAAGAGGAGGATTGGCATCAGATGTTGGCTCAGCGCTGACCTTCCTCACAAAAAAAAAAAAAAAAAGAAGAAAGGTCTCAAATCAACACCTTAAGGAACCAGAAAAAGAATAAATTCAAAGCTAGCAAGAAGGAAAGAAAAAAAGAAATATTAGAGCAGAGAGAAATAAAATAGAGAATAGAGAACAATCAACAAAACCAAAAGTTGGTTCTGACAGGGTTGTGGGAACCCCTGAATTTGCAGCCAGCTGGCGTCTTAAGTGAGTGCAGTCTTGTTGCGGGGACTGTGCCCTTTTGACATGTGGGTTCTGTATTAACTCTGTATGGTTAGTGTCAGAACTGTACTGCAGTACACTAGTTGGTGTCAATAGTGACCAAAAGAATGAAGAGAAGTGATAGCGACTTCTGAGGCAAGGTCACAGATGGGCTGTAGCTTCTGGCTTGTTCTCTTGGATTGCTCATTCTGGGAGAGGCCAGCTGCTGTATGAGGACACTCAAGCAGCCCTGGAAGAGGCTGACATTGGAAGAACTGAGGCTTTCCACCACCAGCATGAATTTGCCAGCCATGTGAATGAGTCACCATGGAATTAGATCAGATGACTGCCACCCCAGCCAAGGTCTTGACTGCAACTTTATGGGACCACAAGCCAGAAAGCTCCAGCTTAGCTGCTCTCTAACTCTTGACCCACATAAGCTGCAAGAAATAATAAATATTTACTGTTGTATTAATCCACTAAGTTTTGGGTAATTAGTTACGCATTGATAAATAACTAATACACTTTGCTTTCTCTAAGGACAGGAAGAATGATATATCATGGGAGTTAAATACTCCTTTCTTACTTTGCTACGTAAATAGTAAATTCAGAACAACTTTCATAAAATACTCTGGATATCTCTGTTATTCAAATTAAGTTTTTAAGTGTCTTATTAAAAAAAAGTGCTGGGCTTGTTGGACAGTTTCTGCCCCCAGATATGGATAGACTATACTAATGTAAAGTCACCGCCTGGGCAAAATTTAACTTCTCAGTCATTTATCAAATATTTATTGAGTGCTTCCTTTCTTTGAAAATTTTTAATTATTTACTTGAATAGGTAACATGCACACGATAGGAGAAGGTAAAATAGGTATACAGTGTTTTTTGTACATCCTTTTAGAGATATTCTATGGCATGTAACATCTGTATAAGATTTATTTCCTTCCCACAAGTGAAAGCACACTATATACCTTGTTCTGCACCTTGCTTTTCCCTTTAATGTACATTAGAGATCATTCTGTATTAGAATTAAAGTTACCTTATAAGTATAGAAGCACCCACATTTATTTACATCAGTATAGATGTATATTTAGATTGCTGTCAATATTGTACTATACCAATGTCAGCACCTACGTTTATTTCCATCAGTTCCCTATAGATGGACAGATTGCTATCAGTATTGTACTATACCAATGTCAAGTTTCTATCACTGTCTACCTGGACTTAAGGTTCTAAATCCAAGTAACAAAGCCTCCACTCTAAAGGCATATAAATTATAGACTCTATCACCTAAAGGGCATTCTGCCCCATCAGTTTTTATTTCTTTTCTTAATGTTGAAATCACATATATAGTTGGAGTTTTATACTTACCTTTTTTTCAAGTTTTAAAAAATTGTGGTAAAATACACACAACAAAAAATTTATCATCTTAACCCTTTTTAAGTGTTCAGCTCAGTGGTATTAAGTACATTCATATTGCTGTGCAACCATCACCACCATTCTTCTCCAGAATTCTCTTCATCTTGCAAAACTGATACTCTGTACCCATTAAATAACAACTCCCCATTTCCCTTCCCTGCAGCCCCTGGCAACCACCATTCTACTTTCTGTCTCTATGATTTTGACTGCTCTAAGTACCTTATATAAGTGACATACAAGATTTTACTCCTTAAAGCAGTTGTGCATTGAATGACTGTCATATAATACAATCAAGGCATATGACTAAGTAGATGTTATGGGTTGAACTGTGTCCTCTCCAAATTCATATGTTGAAGTCCTACTCCCTAGTATCTCAAAATGTGACCTTATTTGGAAATAGTCATTGCAGATGTAATTAGTTAAGATGAGGTCATACTGGAGCAGAGTGGGCCCCTAATCTGACTGGTGTCTTTATAAAAGGGAGAACTTAGGATACAGACACACACAAACCAGAAGAATGCCATGTGAAAACTGGAGTTAAGCTGCCGCAAGCGAGGGAACTACCAAAAGCTAAAAGATCCTTCCCTAGGGCCTTCAGAGGGAGCATGGCCTTGCCAACAGCCTGATTTTGGATGTCTGATCTCCAAAACTGTGAGACAATAAATTTCTGTCGTTCAAAGTCACCCAGTTTGCGGTACTTTGTTATGGCAGCCCTAGGAAACTAACACAATAGGGATAAACCCTATGTTGCAGATAAGGTTATTGTCAATTATGAAAGCACATCTCATCTGTTGCTCTTTGAGTAACAGAACCTACTTTACTTCTATGGTAAATTCAGAAGATACCAACACTTCACACAGAACAGACTCACACCTAGGGATGTTAAAGGTATACTGAAAAGCTTTAGAAATTAAAGATTAAAATACCAACATCTGCCCATTAATTAAAACTTAAGTGAATATTCTAAAATTTGCCTAGTTGGGGCCGGCCTGGTGGCGTAGTGGTTGAGTTCACATATTCCACTTCGGCAGCCTGCGGTTCGCCGGTTCGGATCCTGGGAGTGGACCTACACATCGCTCATCAAGCCATGCTGTGGCAGCATCCCAGATAAAAAATGGAGGAAGATTGGCACAGATGTTAGCTCAGCAACAATCTTCCTCAAGCAAAAAAGAGGAAGATGGGCAACAGATGTTAGCTCAGGGCCAATCTTCCTCACTAAAAAAAAAAAGAAAAGAAAAGAAAATTTGCCTAGTAACATTCATATTTTATCAGTTGACCTCCTCCAATCTAATTAGATCTTTTTTCTTTATCCAATAAAAACTATTGGTTTGGGCAAATAATCAAGTTTTTCTTTTCTTTTTTTTAATACTTAATACATTGCTTTTGCTGAAAAAGATTTAGCTTAAATATCAATAATTTATAGTCACTTTTGATGTTCATCTTCTACTGAAGTTAATGGTTTATTGTTCCATTTCTATCTAATTATTTTTGAGCTGCTTAAACAGTATTTGTAAGCATTAGCCACTATTACTCACTTGCCAAGTCCTGAGTTCAGAATTCTGTTTTCTTTTTGAGATGAATATAAAAGCACCTAAAAGTCAAGGAAAATGTTCTTCCTGTGATGAGGAAAAATAAAAAGAACATTATAGTAAGGATACAGACCTCACTTGTGCTAAATGCATTCATGTGCAAAATTATTCAAATGAACCAAGCTACTCTAAAAAACATCACCATCAAAAACTATTCAGAAGGAACAATCAGAAAGAAGTTACTGTCTACCTGCATGCATTAATTTTATAAAAATGTTAAAACTCTTGGAGCAGCGGTTCTCAAGTTTTTATGGAACACTGTCTCCTTTGAGAATCTGATGATGCTATGGACCCCCTTCTCCCCACAGAAGACCTTTGCTTTAGTATAGGTGACTACTCTCCTCTGGGTAGGGAGGAAGAATGTTCCATTCCTTTCCTCTGCCCCTTATCTTCTCTCTTCTCCTAGATGAAATGAAAAAACTACTCTTGACAAAAGCAACTGACAGGTCTTATTTAGAAATGCTTCTTTACCTGATATTTTCAGCTCTGCTAAATCCAGGGCCAGCAAAGAGCATATCAGAAACATTCATTTGTATTATGACATGTCATTCGAACTGTACTTAACTAAGGTACCGGTTGTAAAAAGGTTTCACCAACTCTTAAGCCTAATAATAGGCACCTTTCCCAGAATTTACCTGCAAGACCGAATGAGGGGTTGTAACAAGCCAAGTTACAAAAAGAGATACCCTCTAAAGTTAAACAAGAACTCAATACAAATGCCTGACAGTATTATACTTTGCAACCCCACCACATTACACAAAGTACGTGCTAGTAATATTTCCCAAAATTCTTTCCCATTGTCTCTATAACAAAGAAATAAAAATTGTACATTGACTCCTCTAGTTCTGGAGAACAACAACGGTGAATTCTGAGACCCAGAGTTAGCCGAGATTAATGCGCCATTAGGCAATTATCAGGTCACACAAGGACAAAGCTGCTTACTCAGACCTTAAAAGTTTGAAAGGTGGGAACGGGAACGAATGGATATTGTAAGAGTAGCAAGAGAACATGCACAATACACCGACTCAAATGAAAACTCCAGGGGAAACCTGTTACACCAAATCTCAAGGTCAACGGGCCGACACAAAATGCTCAGGACCACAACAGGCCTCGACTGATACCCGAGCCTCAGGCAAAACAGTGGGCACAAAGCCGTGAGGCGAGGAGTATAAACAAATCAATAAAAAAGACATTCTTCAAAAGATAAACCGGTGACCCACGCAGCGGCTGCTAGATGTACACCCGCGTGGGTGCAATCATCGGGGAAAAAGCCGAAAGCACAAATGCAGCTAAAGGCATGACACTGCGAAGGGCAGTGGCGGGTCGAGGGCCGAGGGGTGGTGCGACACACCCCGGAATGCGGGTGCGGCCGCCCTGGGGCGGCTCGGGAGGAAACCTGCGCCCGGCCGAGGCCCGCGCCTGCTACGGGCAGGCTCCGCTCGCTCACGTCCTCCAGCCAGGTAGAACCGCACCACCTCCTGCTCGTCCCCAGTCGCCGGCCTTCTCGGCTTACCTCGCACCGGCCCGCAGAGGCACTCGACCGCCCGGGGGCCGACACGCCCCCGGCCCAAAGGCCGGCTCGCCGAGCCGCGCCTCACTCCGCCATCTTCCCTCTTTCCCAAGTCCGCCAACCCGGCGGTGGCCGTTTCCACAAGCCTCGCCTCTACCGCTGCTGCTGAGCACTGATTGGATAACGCTTGCGCAGGCGCACTCTTCTACCGTGGTAGGTTGGTTGGAATTTACGTCAGTCAATAGAGCTAGCCCACTCTTTCGATCCTCTTTTTGTCGGATTGGGTCCCAGGGTTGAGGTAATAGGGAAACAACGTTTTGTAATTCGTTTGTTAGGAATGTAAAATTATTCCCGCGTAGAAGCCGTGGCACTTCGTGGAAAAGTAGTCTGGCTAGGCTGCATGACTATTTTAAGCCACCGCTAGGTTAAACTGTACTGAATAATTTCATTCTCTGGCCCAGGAGTTTTTAATCCAGGGCATAACAGGACACCTAGGCATACAATTCAGTTGCTCCAGTTTGTTTTCGATTTTGTCCGAGCCATTTCTACTCAAAGGGCACAAACGCCGGACTGTTGTTTACGGCCCTGGTCAGTACTCAAGAGCAGATTCGTCACTTTTCTTTGAGGACCCTTCTGCCGAATGTCAAACTGTTATAACTGACAGTTTTGTCGCTTCCTACACCTAACTAGAGGACTCTTGAGAGTCTTTCTTTCGCGATTGTCCAAGAGAGGCAGGGAAGGTAATTGGGAGCTCCTCTTCCGAGGGTGGGACAAGCAGCTCCTGAGTAGGCGGTGTAGGTCCTCAGACACCACCAAGATTCTCATCTGGGCCGCTTCCTACATTCCTAAGACTGCACCAACCCTGGGTTTTCGGATGAGGCCAAGGGATGTTATTTTACAGCAGCTTATGATAAAGGGCATTAACGGGAAAACCTACTTACTGGTGAGACTTCATACTTTCTCTTTAAGATCAAGAACAAGGCAAGGACACAGGCTCCCACCACCTCTATTCAACATTGTACGGGAGGGTGTAGCCAGTGCAAAAAGGCAAATAAACAAAAGGCATCCAGATTGGAAGAAATAAAACTGCCTTTATTAGCAGATGACATGATCCTCTATAGAAAATCATAAGGAATACACACACATATAGAGCAAAAACAAAGAACCAAAACTATTAGAACTTAAATGTATAGCATGGTTGCAGGATATAAGATTACTATACAAAAATCAACTGTATTTCTCTGTACTGTAGGGGAAGAAGAGAATTCCTCTACCCTTTGGGTCCTTCTGGCTGGGCTACAAACTAAACTGACATGAGACATAATAACAGGAGAAAATCAAACAAAGCTTTATAACATGTATACATGGGAGAAACCCAGGAAAACTGGGTAACTGGCCAAAATGGCAGAGGCTGTTACCTTAAACACTATCTTCAGCTAAAGACAAAGGAGGATATTGAGGGTGAGGGGAGTCGGTTACGGGAGATTAGCAGAAAAGGACAGTAAACAAGAGTAAGGTTATTATGCAGATATAAGTCCTTGCCTTCCACATTGATAAGAGTTTCTAGGGGCAGGCCCACTGGCTTAGCAGTTAAGTTCACACACACAGCTTTGGTAGATGGGGTTTGCAGGTTTGGATCCTGGGCGTGGACCCGTGCACCGCTTGTCAGGCCATGCTATAGTGGTGTCTCATATAAAGTAGAGGAAGGTGGGCATGGATGTCAGCTCAGGGCTAATCTTCCTCACAAAATAAATAAATAAATAAATTAATTAATTAATTAAAAAGAAAAAGAAAAAGAGTTTCTAGAGGTAAGGTCATCCCCTCCTCTTCCTGGTACAGAAAGGGTGACATCTTTACAAATGGAGATTTGCCTTACAAATGTAAATGTCTCTTACAAAGGGTAACTTCTGCTTCTACTTGGTTTTCAGAGCTTTTCCCATGTCTGCAGTTTTTAAAAGTAACCAGCCCAAAATAGTCCTTATGCCAAAGGGACACATTGTGGGGTGGCCAATTCTGATCTCCACAGTACTAATAACAAAAATGAAGTCAAGAAAACAACTTCATTGCAGATGGCCCCTTGGCCTAGTGGTTAAGTTCAGTGCACTCTGCTTTGGCAGCCCTGGTTCAGTTCCCAAGCCTGGACCTACACCACTCGTTGGCAGCCATGCTATGGCAGTGACCCACATACAAAATAGGGGAAGATTGACACAGAGGTTAGCTCAGGGCAAATCTTCCTCAAGCAAAAAGAGGAAGATTGGCAACAGATGTTAGCTCAGAGCAAACCTTCCTCAGAAGGAAGTCAGGGAGGGAAGGAGAGAGGGAGGGAGGAAGGAAGGAAGAAAGGAAGGGAGGAAGGAAGGAATAAAGGAAGGAAGGAAGGAAGGAAAGACTGCATTCACAATAGCATCAGGGCCCGCCCCGTGGCATAGCGGTTAAGTGCGCGCACTTCACTGCTGGCGGCCGGAGTCCCGATCCCGGGTGCACACCAATGCACTGCTTGTCAGGCCATGCTATGGCGGCATCCCGTATAAAGTGGAAGAAGATGGGCATGGATGTTAGCCTAGGGCCAGTCTTCCTCAGCAAAAAACAGGAGGATTGGCATGGATGTTAGCTCAGGGCTGATCTTCCTCACAAAACAAACAAACACAATAGCATCAAAAAGAATAAAATACTTAGGAAAAATTTTAATAAAACAAGACTAAGATTTATACACTAAAAACTACAAAACATGCTGAAGGAAATGAAGGAAAATCTAAATGAGTGGAGAGACTTTCCATGTTCATGGATTGTTAGACTCAATATTGTTAAGATGACAGTTCTCAAATTGATTAGATTCAATGCAATCCTTAACAAAATCCCAGCACTCTTGTTTTTCTTTTTGTAGAAACTGACAAGCTGATTCTGAAATGTACATGGAAATACAAAGGACCTAGAATAGCTAAGACAATTTTTTGTGTGTGTGTGTGAGGAAGATCAGCCCTGACCTAACATTCATGCTAATCTTCCTCTTTTTGCTGAGGAAGACCGGCTCTGAGCTAACATCTATTGCCAATCCTCCTCCTTTTGTTTTCCCCAAAGCCCCAGTAGATAGTTGTATGTCACAGTTGCACATCCTTCTAGTTGCTGTATGTTGGACGCGGCCTCAGCATGGCGGGAGAAGCGGTGCGTTGATGCGCGCCGGTGATCCGAACTCGGGCCACCAGTAGCAGAGCACGCGCACTTAACCGCTAAGCCACGGGGCCGGCCCTAGCTAAGACAATTTTGGAAAAAGAACCAAGTTGGAGGAATTACAGTACCTGATTTAAAAACTGACTACAAAGCTTCTATAATCAAGACAGTGTAATATTGTTTTGAGGACAGGCATATAGAATCAGTGGAACAGAATTGAGAGTCCAGTTCATAAACTCTTACATTTATGGTCAATTTTTGACCAAGATAATTCAATGGCAAAAGGATAGTCTCTTCTATCCAGGATACTGGCAAGGTCGATTGATATTTAGCTTGGTTACTAAAATGTTAAAATACTTCCACACTTGCTTGAGAGTGGCCATTGTACCAAACTTGTTTCCCTCGCTTGCCTCACTCTTACTCAGGACCCTCAAAGACTTACCTTCTATCCAGCAACTGAAGGGTTTACTGCCCAGCATAGCAGAGGACCTCTGGGACTCTGCTCCACCCCTACATTCTGATTGATCAGTGCAGCATTAGTTATAAAATATTTTGAAAATCACTCCCAAATACAGGTATTTTTCTTCCTGAGGCACAGGCAACTAGGGAAGAACCAAAAACAAAACCATAAAATACTGTCAACTGAGGGCCAGCTCAGTGGCGTAGTGGTTAAGTGCACACGCTCCACTTCCGCGGCCCGGAGTTCACAGGTTTGGATCGTGGGTGCAGACCTACACACTACTCATCAGGCCATGCTGTGGCGGTATCCCATATACAAAATAGAGGAAGAGGGGCACGGATGTTAGCTCAGGGCCAATCTACTGGGGCTTTGGGGGGAAAAAAAAAAAAGGAGGAGGATTGGCAATAGATGTTAGCTCAGAGCCAGTCTTCCTCAGCAAAAAGGGGAGGATTAGCACGGATGTTAGCTCAGGGCTGATCTTCCTCACGAAGGAAGGAAGGAAGGAAGGAAGGAAGGAAGGAAGGAAGGAAGGAAATTCTTTCTTAGAATAAGCTGGGATCTGTCAACCTATCACTTCCATCCATCATTAATAAACCTTATAAAATGCTTAGCAGGTGTCAGACACTCATTTAATCCTCACAGCAACCTATGAGGTTGGTACTGTTATCATCATAATCCTCATTTTACTGTTGAGGAAAAGGACACAGAAAGGTTATGTGAATTGCTCAAGTTCATGTGCCTGGTTAAGCGGCAGAACCAGGATCTGAACCCACCCAATCTGTTCCCAAACTCCATGCTGTTAAATTCTACATTAAACCACCTAATTCTGTCCTCTAGAAAAATAACATAGAGGCTTTCAAGCACAGGTCCTTAGCTATCTGGATATAGATCCTAAATATCTGAAGATAGCTACTTTTTTTTTGCTTTTCTTTTCTCTAGATTAAAGCCTCAGTTTCTACAATTGCCCAAGATAGTAAGTTGCCCTGAACCCCTCACCATTTTGCTTCTTGGGAATATATCATTTTGTCAATGTCCTTCTTAAAAGGTAATGGTCTTCAAACTTGTGATATCTTAAAATACACAAGTGTCTCTTGCTTGACATCTCTCTTTTTAGCTTACATATAGGAATTTACATTTATCCTTCTTAAAAATCTAAAGAGTGAAATAATTAAGAGCATGGACTCTGCAATCAGAGTTCCTGGGTTTGAATCCATGCTCTACCACTAACTAGCTGTGTGACTTTGATCTTGGAAAAAATCATTTAGCCTCTCTGTGCCTTAATCCCCTCACCTGTAAAGTGGTGGTAATAAATGTACTTGCCTGTTAAGGTTGCTGTGAGGATTAGAGTTAACATCTGTCAAGCACACACAACAGTGCCTTGCATATAGTAAAAGTCATATAAATGTTAGCCATGGGCCGGCCCCGTGGCTTAGTGGTTAAGTGCATGCGCTCCGCCACTGGCGGCCTGGGTTTGGATCCCAGGCGCGCACCAATGCACTGCTTCTCCGGCCATGC